GGTAAAATACATAATCAGGAGGACTCCCATATTGCTAAGGGTATAGAAGTTTTATATTCAAGCAATACTACAACTAATGCTAACGAGACTAATCGACTAAAAGATAATAGTGTTTCTTGGTTAAAAAGGACAAAACCTTTTCAATTCCCACGTCAAACAACGTCATCGATGGTTGCGCTGGTTATCCGCATATAATCGATCGTCTCTCAAACTAATCGATTGTTCATACCGCTCGTTTCGACAAGGTTGCTCAAGGATTTTGTCCTTTTGTTTTACACATATCTATAGTTATATAAATGCTATGTATACATTGGTTTTCTCATAAAGTACAAAAAATTAGAATTACAGTATTACTAGCTGTTACCCACGGCGGGCTTCGCCCCGTTTGACTTCATAACTATTGATTGGTTAAGTTAAGCTGAAATAAACAAAACAGAATACAGTACTACAAACAAATAATCACACCTGATTTTAATAAGGTAACAAATTGAAAGAATAACATACAAACAGCTGAGGTATTTTTAACTTTAGCTTTATGGAAAGTTCCCTTTAGAAAGGTATTAAGACCTTAAAGGGCAATTAATGATGTAATGGATAGTTTTGCGCAAGGTTTATCTTCATGACGAACATTTGATGGTTTATGGGGGTGTGACTTTTATTTTTCTAAAATATTCATGGGTACTTTGGGATTTATATTTGGATGCTATGTCTAATCATACATTGGTTTTCTCATAAAGTACAAGTTTGAATTGTAGTACTGTACTTTATAGCTTAACCCTGTATAGCCCTTGGATGTATAGGTTTTATTTATAAAACACAACATGTATAGTCTAATTAGATATTTCCAAATATTTTTTTTTTAGTCTTAGATGTAAAATTAGTACAAAATAAAAAGCATACCTACATTGAATTTTGTTAACTTGTAGCTTATTATTTTTTAGTAATTAGTGGTCTGTGGTGTACGTATTTTGTTCTATGAATCTTAATCTTGGATTTGTTCTGTTACTAGTTTCTATGGGGTTTTATTTGGATTCACACCAACAAATTGACAGTTATTATTGTGTTGTTATTATTATTGTTGTGTTTTATTATTGTTTTTGACCGGTTAGTTTTCTAGTTTTCTAAAAATTATACTCAGTAATGAAATATATTAGCATATCGTTTCCAAATTACAAACTAACTATAAACATTTTAATCTTTTGGGATATCCTATCAACAATGAAACAACAAAAAAGTCTCTGGGGCAACAATATTTACGTAGTCAGACAAACCCTTGCCCGTAATCCGCTTCAGTTCTTTAAATAATTCACTTGGTGTGACATTAACAATTTTATCACCACTTTTCCCATTCCAAGCTAAATCCCACTGATAAAAATTCAATATCTCGTACCACAGAGAACGACCGACGTTGTACGTCTAAAATTACGTTCTAAATTCCTACAGCTACACCATGTACAGGAGTGGCCATGTGAGCGTTATGGACATGATTTTGTTAGGACTGAAATTTTCACTCTAAAGCCATTATCCTCAGTCTACTCCCGGAGACAATTGAATTTCGGGGCAATTGGCCTGCCAATTTTCGGAAAATATTTAATTAATTTATAATTTAAATTGGAATATAAACACTTTGCAGCATTATCCGCTGAACAATATAAAATAAAAGTGTTTTCGTTAAATATTGTATTTATTTATTTTAAATCAATAAAAAAATACTTGTCATCTAAATAAAAATAGAAAAACGTTTTCATCATTTATAATCATGATAACGTACAAAAAGCTTGATAACATAAACGAGTGTATTTTCTGGATACAATGTCTGTATTTGTGAAAGATACGGGATAACGGAGTCCCTCTGGGATGTGGTTTCCCCCCGTTTATATTCAGTGAGTTTTGTTGCACCACAGAATTGGTTTGATAAAAGAGGAGTATATATATGAATTTAGTAGTAAAAATCTGGAAATTTAATTAATAAATTTAAATTTTACATAAATTAAGCTGACGATCGCGTGATTTTACAAAACAATAATATGCTTTCTCATTTGAATAAATTAAAAATAAATAAATAGATATAAATAAATTTAAGATGGATATACTAAGTGCATTCATCAGTCTCACAACTTTTACGTATATATAAGATGAAAGTTTTTTATTTAAAAAAAAGTTTAAAGGATTTAGGAAAAAGTCATTGTTTTGTAAAATCATGAATTGCAGTGTAAAGATTGTGTCTTAATTATTTATGAAATATATTTTGGGAAATAGCCTCATTTTGTGAGATATTACATCTTTTGTTACCAGAATAACCAAACGGGAATACATTTTCACACTCTTATTGTATGGACGAAGCACAGTTTTAATTCTGTACACGAATACTTATTGTACAGGGTGTCCTGGAACAGTTTGAACAGATATTTTTTTAAGTATTTTTTTTACATACTCTCTCGGTTTCTGTTTGGTGTTCGATATACTGAATATATTGGGAGTCAATTGGTTGAAGCTTGTTTTACTAGCCAAAGGTTGTCGGTTTAATTCTGAAAAATATAAAAAGTATTATTTCACAAACATTTGTTCTTAGTTCAAAGCTAGGTCCAGCTATCATTGATATTTTTCATCATTGGACTTTAATTGTGTTGGCTAAAGACAGCTGATTAAATGACAACGCCTCACAGATAACATCACTTTATTCTAAACTCACCTTTCATTCGTGTCCACCAATACGGCACCCATATTAGCGTCGCTGGCCCGAAGTATATATAACAAATACTGTTACTGTATTTCAAGTTATATACGAAATCTCACACTAATTCTGAATGTTGTCTAACGCAACATAATAGTAAATTAATAGACACGGACACGGCGACACGTGTGTTCATGGTTGGTTAGACAAGTCGTGTTTTGAAGATTAAAAGACTAGCGAGACATTCAACACGATTAGGATTATCTCATTGTACTGAGGTATAATTTGAACACGGCCAATGCATATTTAATAGTGTAGTTGTATTGAATAAGGATAATCTGTTATTCTTTTTTCTTAGATTACCAAGCTGCAGTTCAAGGTAACTTCTACACTTTCAATGCGTTTGTTTGAAAACCCGCTATGAGTGTTAATTAATTTTATTTTGTATCTCAGTTAGTAATTTGTTATTTTACCGACCGCACTAAATAGTTATAACCTAACCTAAGGGTGGACTATGTTTTAGGTTAGGAAGTTGTTATTATGTAAACGAATTAAAATCTTATTTATAAGTCGATTTATCGGTGTGGTCGATATAATACCAAAGTACCTATAAATATTAAGAAACTTTTTTATAGTAGATAGGTGTAAGGTTTTTTTCTTCATTTTATCTGTGATTCAGTATCAAGTAAATTTCGTAATTGTTTCAGTAGACAGTGAGAGTCGTTAGATCAAATGAAACGAAACTTTTATATTGAGTCAGTAACAACTGTGCAAGAGATGACGTTAACTTTATTGCGGATCTTTGGGGACTACAAGATAAGACTGTTTTCTTTGTTGTATAGTCAATTATATTTCGTCAAAATTGGGATTACGCCATGAAATGAGGAAGAACGCAACAGTTATACTTAAATAAGCTAATCCCAAAACACCGGTTTTTGTTATCTCAAAGCTCCTAATAGGTTTAAACTTTTCGTTGCCTACGTTGGGGGGTTATCAAAAATCAATTAATTATATTAACTTTTCATTTTTCCAGTAGTCCACATTCCGGTATTTAAATTAAAAATGAAATAAAATTTGTTTAGCTAAGTAAAGTGAGAGCGCCTCCTAACTCGTGGTACAACCAACCCCTATTTTATACAGTAAAAATGTGCTTTGCTTTCGTATCCTATGGTTTCTTTTGATAAATTTCTCATACTGCGCGAACTAATCATGAACGAAGTTTGTTTTTCATGTAAGATGAGGCACATATGTTGGAGCTGGAAGTTGTACAAACCTTAAGTTAAATCCACTCGTTATTGAAATCAAACATTTTTTACTAACAAAAATATTTCTAACCACATTACAGTAGTACTTTTTTCATTTGAGGCCAGCTAGGAAGGAAAGTGCCGGAAGGTAGACAGTGAAGTGACGGTGAACATACGGCACTCCAGAACCGGTTGAGGGAAAGCAGTGAGGCTGATGCCATTTGGACGAGTGGAGGTATCAATTATGGATGTGAACTAGCAGGTGTGCTTGAGAGTACTGCACTATGCGGTGTGCCGGTCAAGCTGGGAGAGATTTTTAACCTAACTGTAGTTCTTGAATAACTCCGTTACAGATTAATTCTCGAAATTTGTTAACCTCCTTGTCTCTATTGATAGGGAGCGAGCTAGTCTAGTGGTAGAGCATGGGACTTCGGTCAATGAGGTTCCAGGTTCAAATCTGGACAATCAAAATTGGATCTTTCATAAATGAATATGCCATGAATCACTCAAGACCTATCCTTAAGTAATGTGGAAAATAATTCCAGGCTAAAAATCTAGATGAGTAAACAAATAAAAAATAAAATACAAATAACTACCTAACCTCAACTAATTTGAACTATATATTTGCTTGTGCAGTGTAAAGACAGAATAGTGTTACTTAATGACGTTACGGTATAATGTAATTTTGGCGGTGACATCAGTGAAAAGACAATGCATGTGTCCAGGTACGAACTAGTTATGTTTTATCAGCACAAAAAGCTATTGCTGAGCTACTGTGAATTTAAGCAGTGCTTTGAAAAACTTTTAATATAAATAATTTATATCTGTGTCTAAACATGACCCGTAAATAGTTAGGTACATTAATTTTCTGTGGTGATGCTTTATTAAAAAAGCTCCACATTAAAGAATGTTTGTGTGTAATACAGTTTCCAAAATTACATTAAAACCTTAAGCTACAATTTTTGAGATTTTATGCAATAATGTAATGTTGGAATTATTTATAATGTTGGCCTAGCGAATATCACCCCCTTTGAACGTGTTTAACGTGTTATATGCCTACTAACACATTCACGTTTTTACAGATCCTTGAAGAAAATTTTGAAAAGAAACCCATCGCTTTGGTGAGTAAGCTCTATACAATCATATTTTGAATACTGAAAACCAGTGCATCTGAGTACTGGTGCTATAAATTCGACTTGCATACATTATCCATAGCTATAAGTTGTAGATTTCAGATGATTTCTAAATATTTAACCTCTTTGAATAAATTTAGCTGCCAGCGTTTATTTTTAAAACGACTGCAGCAATAACTATACATCTACACGATGTATGCGTAAATATAGGTTACATAGTTAATTACTGTAGGTACAAAAGGGTTTTATTATACATGCTCAACCGAGGTTAACTTATAAAGTTCCAAATATTTCAAAGCGGATATTTGTACTGTTTTATTTAAAAAGGTTGTCTATAAATCCCATTTTCTCTATAGCATATTTTGGTAGACGTAGCGATTCCTCCTCAACAGAAGTTTATTTCTACTACGGTGTGCCCCGCTATGATATAGATGCAGCATATTCTGTGACAGTCTCGGCACGCCACACGCAGTATGGATCCTACCTACTTGGAAGGCAGACCTGTCTTTTCCTTGTTCTTCCCTAGTTTTTTTCTACAGTAACTAGTCGTGACTTTGCTCCGTCATTTTAAGCGATGCAACGCGTAGTACGTTCCTGACAGCTGTTTGCGTTATGTATTGTGAAGGTGCTGATAGAAATGTGCTAATTCGTTTAGTAGTTTAGTAGTGATTATGTTATCAGTTGAAGTTTATTTGAGGTCAGCTTGAGCACCTTTATTCACATAATATTAAAAAAATTTAATGTCACTGAATTTTTTAGTGAAATGTTTTGTTAATTACATCACAAAGCGTAGATCAGTGTATTTATGTATTTTATACCAAAAAGAAATGGTTTTATTTTTGCAATGAAAATAATAGGTTATGTTCGGATAAGAAATAGCAACTAGTTACAGCTGATACAATTTTGTTTTGTTTTATCAGTGATATATGCCTTTGATGTAACTCATAACTTGTATACCCCCATAGTAACGCCCCCATTGGCCCTTATATTTGTGGCATCCCACACGTCTAATCACTTTGACCAATTAACAAGGCTAAATGTATCAAAATTGTTTAATCAAACCGTTTCCGTATAATGATTGTGTATAACCCCCAATCCGTAAGAAATAAGAAAATACATCACTGTCCTAGGGGGTTAACTTTTGTAATTGATATTGTAAAGATATAAGTTAGCTTTCCATAGTTTATAGGATAAGATTATTAGCTACAAAAATTTACTGGAATTTTAAAAGATAAAATATACTCAACGAAGCAAGTAAAAACTTAAACTTGTTCTCTCCTTTAGTTGTGTATGGAAAACGCTTTTTATGTGTTTTTCCTAAAACTGCATGGTAATGAGTACATTGCAATCTGTAACTAAGGCGGAAAATATATAATTTACGCTCTAGAGCAGGAATGGATCATTCCCGCTCCATAATCAGCTGATTACACAGCTGTCGTTTCTACACCAACAACAGCTGTGGATCCGGTATGTTAGTTAACAACCGGTAACCAAAAAATATAACCTTAAAAAGCAAACATAACCCGGATGACATTTTATTAATACACAAAGAGCTATTATGTGACCGTCGATTACTTATTTTTGCTTACTTTTCTTTGTCAATTGTTTTTTTTGAAAACTTTAAATTCATCAAACCCTCTATTAAGCAATAACCAAACAGTTTTTATTTTGCGAACATTGATTAACTAATTGTATTTTCATTTACTTTATTGTCTGTATTGTGTTTGTTACGTGAGCCGTTGTGTTAATTTATAGCATTGTAACTTCCACAGGCTAAACGTTAGTAATTCACTACACCACAGGCCCACAGCTCTTGCACATTTATGTGGTGAAGTGTTAGAAAGTTACACACAAGCACAAGGTGCTTTACTGTAACACCAAGAGCTTATCAAGCAGTTAATGGCCTCCAAAAGCTTAAAGGGCCATTTTGGCTCCTTCGCTAGATCCAGTGTCGTTAATGTAATAGAAGTAATGAAGCAAACACCCTTTCTTTTGACATTTATTATTGCCGTGTATTTTATTATAAATTTATTACTCTAAAATTACCTCTTTACTTAAAAAAAATATAAAAATAAATTGTTTGTCCCGTGTTTTTTTAACCATTCAGTTTAAAATACCTTCGTTACTTATTATTTCTGTTTTTAAATTAATCATAAAACTCAAATTCAATTTATTATTCAATTTACGACACTCAAATTTACTAGGAATTCCAATAGGGGTCGGTTTTTAATGTGTAAAATGGCAAAATATCCCAAATTATCTCGTTCCAATTACAAATATTTATGATTTCGTATGTTACATCACCTTCCAGTTTAGCAGTACCTAAATATTTGTAGAACGTTTTGTTATTGAAATGCCTGAAAATTGCTTTATAAATACTGAAGGGCAGCTCGGCGTATTTAAATGTAGAAATAACACGATTTGGAAGAAACATATTAAAATATTAGCATTATTATTAGAGTAGAAAATTACAACAAAGAAAGTAAATAATTGCAGATTACTTGAAAGGGAATTAGTGTCCTTAATACTAAAACAAATACTTAAATTCGTTATAAAACCTAGGTTCATAAAACTATACAATTAATTGTAGGTTCATTTACTTAATTATTAATATAGCACAGATAATGTATTTTGCATTACACTGAAAACATGTTATTAAAACTACCTAACCAACTTAAGTAGTTTATTATTCTTGACTTGGTTCAAAGCTTTTGTGTGTTATTTTGTAAAGCACTTTAGGCGATACAATAGCTTTATTGCTAATGTCGTTTCTGTGTTTTATCTCCGACTTTATCTCCTCTTTGTTGATTTAAAATAACTTTATCACGTTGATAAGAACTCAACGGTTAGTAGAATTGCTACTGTCTCTAATTTAATTTAATGATGCGATATTGATTTGTTTGGTTTTATGAACGAAACAATGCATTTGTTTTTATTTATCTTTGACTCAATATTATCTATCTCAGCACAGATTTGTGTTGCAGTTGAGGCATAAACTGATAAACATATTTTTACTTCCACTAATGATAAGTTGATGTAGCATACAGGTGTAGGCTATATAGTTTGCTAACTTAATTTTACTTAAAGTATTCCTATTTCCTTTGCAGCATAGATAGTTCTAAGCACATCTACCATTTCTATACTTCACCTATCATCATATATGTACTGCACGAATTTATTCAGCTAGTCCTTTGTTATAAACACTTTAGTTATCCTTTACGTGATTTTTGCGAATTTCCCATAAAGGGCATAACCTTTTACCGTAGGTCTCATGGTAAGTCCTAGACCCCGGACCACTAAAATGTTTTGTTTTGAAGTCTTTAGAGGCCAAAAACAACATTCGTTCAAACCTATCTATATATATATTCGTTAAATATTTAAGTAAATAAGTACAACTGAGCACCCTGAATATTATATTTTTTTTAAAGAAGTGACATGTTTCGGACATAAGTCCATTTTCAAATTAATGTATTTGAAGTTTGAAAATGGACTTATGTCCGAAACATTCACTTCTTAAAAGAAAATTATAATATTCAGGGTGCTCAGTTGTACTTATTTACTTAAATATTTAATATATCAGCAGCCCTATTACGTGAACACCTAAATTAAAATATATATTCATATTTGTACGTTAGCATGATAACTCGAATAAAAAATCACCCGAATTCGATCAAAGTCTACACAAACTTGTAACATTTATTTGAACTAATATGATCGGATTATGGAAACGGGGTTTTAATGGGTAAAAGTTTCCCCATTTTGACAATCAAAATATAAATTTTGTATTTTCTTCCCAAGCCATTTTCTAGCAAATAATTCAGTATATTGAATTGTTGTACTTTAAATGGTTACAGATAAAATAAAAAAAAACTATACATTTAAATTTCCTCTGTTATTTTTTTTTATAAGTTAGTAGTGTAGTTTACTTGTTTATAAATTTATATTTTGAGCAGGTTTGGTCAATTCATCCATTTAATACTAGTTGTTATAGTTAAAATTAAACAACACACACTGGCACTAAAAGTCTCACTAAACGTAATGTTATTTAAAATGGGAATAAATATAACATGTTTAATGGAATATTACGGTGGAAATCGATCAGGCAATTGGAAATTTGTTTATTTAACAGGCTTGCCGTGACGGAGGTATCCAGTACTTGCAATAAGTAACCAGAAAAAGTTATAAAAAATCATCAACATAACTTATTAATTCTGAATTAGCTGGAGGGAGATTTCTCATGTTTGCTTGAAATTAAATTTATGCCCCTCCCTCACCCCCCAAACTATCCATCATAGAATATCCTTCTCATCCCACAACTACTTATAGAATAATTAAGAAAAAATTACAATTCTCTGTAAAAGTTGTTGTCAAATAGGATTACTAGTTTTAATGACATGAGTAATACTTGCTTTTAAATCTCTCAGTAATTTGTCTTCAAGTATGTAAGAGAAACTTACATTTTAATTTTACGAAGTATATATTGGTATTATAAACAATAGTATACAGTTCTACATATTCAATAACTTAATTAAAATACATATATATGAAATAATAAAAATATTTTCCATTTTTGCTACAATTCTTTTCACACAATAGTAGAAATGTATCAAAACAAATATTCAATTAAGACTTATAAAAACTATTAGGTATGTTATATTGCGAGTGTGGTCATTTTTATTGAAACAGCGATAAAAAGTCTTGAAAATTAAATGAACCATAGATATTTCCCTGGAACGACTTAAGAAATTGTTATAAAAAAGTAAAAAGTTAAAGTGAAACAAAATCACTTAAAAGTAATTAAAGAATTCAGAACATTAAATGAAGATTAGGCAATCCAAAATTGTATGATTGAAATAATCTAATAATTTTTGTACAGTATAAACAATAAAGGTAAAACAACTCGAGATTATCCTTAACTTAGTTTAAAGTGTAAAGTGTTTATTTTGTGCTCCTCTACAGGCGATCTTACTTGACCTTTACTGCTAATTTAATTTTAGTCTTTCTAACTTAAGTAAAAAATTAAAAATAAAACGGCTTAACCATGTTATTTATTAACTCCCAGGACATATACGGTTAAACGTGTTAATAACTGCATAGTTTTGAAATGTTTGCATTTCTATTTGTTTACTGCTGAAATACATTTTCTTAGTTTTAATCAGCTCCCATATAAAATATCATTTTTTTTTGGTAATTGATTACAGTTTAAGGTAAATTATATGTATTTTTAATAACAGGTGATTTTTTAGAATGTAATAGATATATAGTGTCCAAGATATTTTATATAAATTAGGGATTATTTAAAATATGGTGTCTTGAAGAAAGGGGTTTTTGTAAATTTGATTAAATGTTAACAAATAAAAATTTTACTAAACAATTACCATACCTTGATTTATTAAATCAAATGTTTTTCTCTTATGCCATGATCATAGCCAAATAATATCATAGACCAGTAAAAACATAGTTGAAGCAAAGATGTTCTGATATACAATACAATAACAATACAATACAATAATATTCTGGAATACAATACAGTGTGTGCCAAAATAACCAGTACTGAAATCTTCTATTGTTCATTTTCAGTATTGTTTATTTTAACACATACTGTATTAGATTATATTAGTTCATCCATGATTCAACTAAGACACTATTTTAAGATTCAGTGTTCGTTATGTGGATAGGTCGTGATATTTTATTTATATCATGTGTAAAATATGTTCATCTATTCTGTTTTCTTTTCGTATTTGCATCGTGTTGAGGATTCATATTATTTTTTAACCTATAACCAACGTAGATTGTCTTTACTAGACAAATTTGCGGCGTTGCCGTTTTTGTCTAGACACAGTTTTGTATTATTTCATTCGTAACCCATTGAAATGACAATGAACCATACCTAGAATCGTTGATGAAAACCAATGTAACATTCATTGTATCTTAATCAATATTTTTATTTTAAAGATTGTTGTCGGGGAGCGAGCTGGCGTAGTGGTTAGATCGCGGGACTTCAGTCCCTGAGGTTCCGGGTTCGATCCCTGCCAAGTCACCAATGGATTTATCTAAGTGATAATGCCGCAACCCCTAGGTCTAGCCTGAAGTAATGTGAAAAACAATCCCAGGCTCGTGCCTAGCGTCCTAGGACAAAAAAAAAAAATGTACAATGTTGACGTTGTCAGTATTTATTTATAAAATGCCAATCACTTCAAACAGTGTAATATAGTAAATAATATGAGCCAAACAAAAGAAATTGTTGGAAGTATTTTTATCAGATGAACGAAATCATGAAACTCGCATAGAAAGTTTGATTTGACAAATGGCTCCCTGGAGTACAATTGGTGAACCAAACGAAGGTTTTGTAGGATCTAAATCATCTGTGGTCCTATTTTGATTCCTTATGGAAGCCAATTATGTAAAAATTGTGTTTTTATTTTCGTCCATACTGTATTCTCTCTTAGCGTTCAACTAATAATCTTATTATAATCATTACTTTCGCTATATGATTTACAAAAGGCTTTAAGCATACCTGTAAAGTTTATCAAAGTATATGAAGGAAATAACGTTCTCATTTTATAATAATTTATAAATAAAAATACTTTTTAAAAATGCCACGTTTTTAAACGCACTAAAAAGTATAAAATAATTTATAAAATGTTGAGAGAATAAATACTTGTAAGATTTAAAACGAAAAACGTGGGGCGCATGCTGATTTACAATTAACTTCACCTATTTAACTACAGTCTAACCTTGATATAACGAATTCCTTGATATAACGAATTTTTTTTATCCCCTAGAACTCTCCATAAGACACAATGTATATTTTACCTCTACATAACGAACAAACCATAACATCGACCTTGATTTAACGAATTTTTCGTGATTTCGGCTAAAATAAGACACCTCAATATAACGAATTTATCATTGTCAGAACCTCTACATTGCGAATTTAACCTCTGCATAACGAATTGTCTACGTCTTTCCCTCGATATAACAAATCCCCCACCCAATTATTGTTTTGGGAAAATCTGTTTCTTTATCAAATTAAATAGAAAGGTCACGTCATCGCTTGCGCTAACATTCGTCTGCTCCGTTTTACATATTTGTCTGCTGTCGCTGCGCGCGCTATGTTGCAACTGAGAACTGAACTGATTTCATTCACTGAGGACTGATGACGACGTAATGTTTAGTAAGCTGTGATTGGGCGATATGGGATAACTATGGTGAATTGTACAATTTTTGGATAAAGAGAAAACTAAGAAAGAATATAAAAACAAAACCAAAGAGAAAGAATAGCAACATCGTTATGTTAACATTCCTTTTACGAGTGTTTTTATTATCCTTAAGTTGGCTATGATTATACACTTTTATAATGACTTATCTAATAATTTATTGTTTCAATACGATTTGTTTCAACTAGCAACACCAATGCTAGGATTATTATTGACATTCCTCTGTTGTGATAAATTTGTACTGTACTGTAAGTAGCCTACCGGCCTATCACGAGCAGTAGCTTACAAAACTGTCTACTGTTTTGTTTTGTTCTTTACATGGTTTATGACTACGCAATACAGTGTTTGGCTAGGTTTTAGGAGGGTTAGAACAAACTGTGATTTTAAACTTACAGTTTTTAACCTGTACCAAGGTCAATGCCATTGTCATGATTGCGCAATATTCAAGATCCTTCCCCTTTATTTTGCCGGATAATTTAGGTTCTACTGTACAATGTAAACACTGTACTGTAAAGTATTGTAGCGTAGCCTATGCTACTTTAATTGTATTTTAATGAGGTCAAATCCCGACCTATATTGACCGTCGCTGGTTCTGAACCTCGACTTAGCGAAATTCCTGCAAACCTAACCTCTATATAACGAACCTCGTTTTAACAAAATCCTTGATATAACGAATATTCAGTTCGGTCCCTTCAGATTCGTTATACTGAGGTTTGACTGTATTATGATCTAATGCATGCGCCCCACTTTTTTCGTTTTAAATCTTACAAGTATTTATTCTCTCAACATTTTATAAATTATTTTATACTTTTTAGTGCGTTTAAAAACGTGGCATTTTTAAAAAGTATTTTTATTTATAAATTATTATCTAGTTTTTAGTCTTTAATGTGTAAATATGTTAAATCTATTTTATATATAGTCTCTTAATTCATAACCAAAACCCAAAACCTTATTATCTGTAATCAGATGTTTTATCTTTACTTTGAAATGATTGTTTTATATTTTTTTTGAATATTTCGGGAGCAGAACCTGTACCTCTTAACCTATGCTCTTCTAACTGTCAAATTTAAGTATTTACAGCTGACTTAAATTAATTTTTATGTTTATATTCTTTTAAAATGTAAACATGGAAAATTTGGAAGCCAAAGGGGCGTAGCCCAAGGGAAATATGAAAATTAAATGATATTGCATTGTCATCCATTTGTGAGCTATGTTTCAAGTTTAAAGTCTCTAGTTCATCGGGAACTTCGTTTAAAATTGATATCAAAATTTGTAGGAAAGCTAGCTAATAAAAACAAGCCCATGGGGCGTAGCCCAAGGGAAATATGAAAATTAAATGATATAATATTGCATTGTCATCCATTTGTGAGCTATGTTTCACGTTTAAAGTCTCTAGCTCATCGGGAACTTCGTTTAAAATTGATATCAAAATTTGTAGGAAAGCTAGCTAATAAAAACAAGGCCATGGGGCGTAGCCCAAGGGAAATATGAAAATTAAATGATATAATATTGCATTGTCATCCATTTATGATCTATGTTTCAAATTTCAAGTCTCTAGCTCATCGGGAAGTATAAAAATTTGCAAGAAAGCGATTTAATAAAAACAAGCCCATGGGGTGTAGCCCAAGGGAAATATGAAAACCAAATGATATAATATTGCATTGTCTTCCATTTGTGAGCAATGTTTCAAGTTTCAAGTCTCTAGCTCGTCGGGAAGTTAGTATAAAATCGATTTCAAAATTTGTACCGGACAAGAAAGCGAGCTAATAAAAACGTTTTAATAATAAATAGTACACAATTTAAAGAGGATTTATAGTGTATGCAAAGTACTGTATAGTACTGTACTACTAACTGGTACTTACTTAAACATTATTATAGCTGTAAGTGTAGATGTCTGTGTGGCTTTTGAATGGTTAGTGCATACATTTTTAATTTTAAGACAAATATTACCTACGTTTAAGCATAGATATTTACCTCTTTTGCTAAAGGTTTTCCAAAGATTCAATTCAAGTAAAAAACATTTCATTTGCCGATGGCTTTTTGAGGTTTTTATAGAATATTAATATTACTAATATAATAAGTACATTCTGTGAGAGGTCAGTTTTGAAGATGCTAAAGAGCCTAAAAATGACGTATTGTATTCATAAAGAAACCTAAAAATGAATCAACCAGAAGTATGAAAATCGAAATGTACATTATATGTATATTAAGTTATTTTATTTATATGATTAAGTTACAGAGCGCCATATTAACAAAAAGATCCCTACAAAGTTCATCGCTAACCCTCCTGCAAAAATGGGTTCTGACAATTCTATTCGGGTTTGTTTTCCTCCCATGGCGCAACTCAAGAAAATATCCGAATAATATTTTCTGCTTGAGTTTGACAGACAAGTATTGCATATTTCCCCTGAGTCAGAGTTGGATCTGATAACTTGTTTGAGGAGTTGGACTCTACTGATAAGCCTGATAAGTGTTTTGCAAAAGAATAATTAATACGAGTATCAACTGACATTTGTATTGAACAAAGTGAAGTAAACTTAAATTCATTCTTACTGTTCTATTAGAGCAACAATGTATTTGGTAATACTCTACAATATTATCAATACTTCATATCGGTACTTCGCCAATACCCAATACTGTATTGACCAAGAGCAAATATTGAATTTACAGAAACACAATCCTTACGTATATGTTATAATACCGTTTATTTTACATTTTTGTTGCAGATTAGCAAGACAAGCAGCTTAAGTGGATCAAAAATTCTTGGTAAGTCTGAAGTCTTGAATCTTTAGTAAATATTTTATCTGTATTTTGGTTAGTTGTTACCAGTGATTAACACGTCGTTATAGTAGTGACATTTTATAGCAATGTTTTGTATTAGTCTACTGAAATGTTTAATTATCTGAAATGTTTAATAATACAATCTTTGATTAGCATATTGAAAATGGTACACAGTGTGTGTGTGTGTGTAAATTAAACAGTCCCGTTTAAGTAAGTTAACAGCTAAAACTAATTAATTACGACGAAGTGCGCTCTTAAACCAGGTACTGCAGTAATGAGGTAGTGTAATTTGACATAGAGCGAGCTGGTCGGTATAGCGCGGGGCTTCGGTGCCTGATGTCCCGGGTTCAAATCCCGGTTACTATCAATAGATTTTATCCTTGTCATAATGCCGCAACCTTCTAGGACTAGTATGAAGTAATGTGTAAAACACTTCCTGGCTAGAACTAGCGTCATAGGATGTGGACGTAGGACATAAAAAGTGTAGTTTTGTGACCATGATGGATTTTAGCCATAAAACCAAAGATTGTTAGCTTCAATTATAATAAGGCGTTTTAAGTTTCAAATGCTACATACAAATATTGACGAAGGTTATACTTGTTAAGTCGATAATATAGGGCGTGGATTAAAATATCAAGAAGCAGTTTAGAGTGAGGTTGTGTTATAGTTACAAACTAACCCTTATCCTACTAATATTATAAATGAGAAAGTTTGGATGTATAGATGTATGGATGTATGGATGTATGTTTGTGACAAGTGAACGCGAAAAATACTGGTCGGATTGGGCTGAAATTTGGCATGATGATAGCTCACATTCCCGATTAACATATAGGCATATTCTTATTTCAAAAATCCTTTCGGGCTCCGCCCCAGTGGCTCTGGAGTTTCCCATGTTAACCTTATGAGAAATGGAATTATTGAATCTTAACAGCTGTTTCAATTAAACAAGTTGGTTCTGTTCTATGATGTTCAATATCATTAAAGTTACAAGAATTACCAACAGGGTGCAGCACTATTATTTCTTTTACATTTATGACAACAGCTAATTTGCAACCAAAAGGTGAGTGAGCGTAGCGAACGAACTCCAACCTGGAGGCGAGTTAGCGTAGCGAACGAGCTAGCCTGAAGGCAATTAAGCGCAGCGAACGAGCTCCAACCTAAAGGTGAGTGAGCGTAGCGAACAAATTTCAACCAGGACGTGATTGAGCCATGCGAACGAGATAATCTTGAAAATTAAGAAGTTAAACGGGGCAAAGCCCGCGGGTTACAGCTAGTCCTACTAATATTATAAATGAAAAAGTTTGGATGTATAGATGTATGGATGTATGGATGTATGTTTGTGACAAGTGAACGCGAAAAATACTGGTCGGATTGGGCTGAAATTTGGCATGATGATAGCTCACATTCCCGATTAACATATAGGCATATTCTTATTTCAAAAATCCTTTCGGGCTCCGCCCCAGTGGCTCTGGAGTTTCCCATGTTAACCTTATGAGAAATGGAATTATTGAATCTTAACAGCTGTTTCAATTAAACAAGTTGGTTCTGTTCTATGATGTTCAATATCATTAAAGTTACAAGAATTACCAACAGGGTGCAGCACTATTATTTCTTTTACATTTATGACAACAGCTAATTTGCAACCAAAAGGTGAGTGAGCGTAGCGAACGAACTCCAACCTGGAGGCGAGTTAGCGTAGCGAACGAGCTAACCTGAAGGCAATTAAGCGCAGCGAACGAGCTCCAACCTAAAGGTGAGTGAGCGTAGCGAACAAATTTCAACCAGGACGTGATTGAGCCATGCGAACGAGATAATCTTGAAAATTAAGAAGTTAAACGGGGCAAAGCCCGCGGGTTACAGCTAGTTTAAAATAAAGCAGATTAGTGAAAAACAAATTTATCAATACAGTGTCGTGGTTATATAATTAAATTTTGTAAATTTGTAATGATTCAAAGGGGGGTATTATAAACCTTCAATGATTAAATAATGTCTGCATTCTTGGATTAACCACAGGCTTCACTAAAATGGTCCCAAGTTGTCAAATTTTATACCTGACACAATACACAGTTTGGTTTTTTCAAACAGTATTTAACGTAACTCAAATCTAATCTAAACCTCTAAGAACCCACAAGGTCTTGAAGTACAAAACAATTGTAATTCCTCATTGTAGCATTCCAGCGCCGTAATTAACATATCCACAGACATTGTACTCCTCTGATGATTGGTAAACATACCCTTAGTGGTCTGCTTTGTAACCCACCCCTTCTCTAACCTTGTAACATACCCTTGTATCATACTTGATACTACGTTTAGAGGAATGTGTGTTTACACTGTGCCAATTAAATTACAATTCGGTTACAAACATAGCGTGCGTTTTGTTATCTTACTAAATGTGTTGTGTCAGTTTTATAACGTAGGGATACTAAGAATGTCTCACAATCGTCATATATTTTAGGATTTCAACGGGATCTGGTTAGGTAATATACTATTAGACATATATATAGTGTAAAAGATTCAGCCTCTATAAACGACTTTTAGGATGTCAAAAGCTGCATTTTAGGTCATTGTTTACCACAATATATTTACTTTGGTTACAGCGCATTACGTACGCTTTCATAGTTAGGTGAAGTGTGGTTAAATGTTCAATGGCATGGGAATCTTAATAACTGCTGTGTAAAATATTATATTAGTCAGTTTAAAAATATATTTCTTGAAACATTGTACATTTTATATGAACTATATAAATTAACAGCTCGGTTTTTTCATAACATTTAAAATTACGCTTTTAAGATACATTTCATAAACATAGAATTGAAATGGATGGCTAAAAAGTTGTGATACTTGATGGGCTATGAAATTTCTGATAGGAAAGTAAAAAGTACCTTACCATGTTTGAAATGCATATGAATTGCTTTTAACGGAGGAGGAAATTGCACTTTAAAGTTACTCGAGCACGGAAACGTGTGTCATATAAAGTTAAGTTAACTAACAAGGTTTACGTGGCAATATGGCAAAACTGTAATAAGTTGTATCCATCCTACACTCTACAGGGAAGTAATTTGCTCATATAAAATCGTCTTAAAATTGCATTCTTAAGTAATTTGTTATTGAAAATAAATTAATTTAGATTGTAAGTGACGGACGCATTAGTTTTCGTTCATACGATTCAAATGTATCACGAAACATATAATTATTTGCAAAGTTGATTTCAAACAATTTTGTTAGTGTAAATGGAGAGGTGTAATATCTTTCTTTAAATGAATTAGTTATCTTTAACACACTTCTTGATTATTGGGCTAAAAGACTTTTGAATTATTCAAGTAAGTATAAAACATTTAAAACCCGATATCAAAGATCAACAGGAGCTGAATCCCAGATATGAGCTACTGTATTAATATTACACATACTTAGTTAAATCAGTTGCCTAAAGCTTTATATGAAGAAGGCTCTTTTGTAAAACGTTTTGTAAGTATCTAGATCTAGAAGAATTACCAAATGTTCAAGCTCAGCTACTCCGTAATACACATATTGTGATATAAGCTGTTATATCTGGCACAATAGTTTCTGAATATTATCACTCAAAAACTGTATGATTTTCATTACCGGGCGAATCCCAGGGCTACTGATTAGGCTGACCGTAAACAAGCTTCTAATTAACAAGTAATGTTGATTAAGCAGGTTAACCCCACCATATGAGTTTAGTCTGTAAACTGTTAAATACATCACAATTGTCACATATTCAAGCAAAGGCGTAGTTTTTAATGTGGTTTTCGTGTGCCTCTATATATAAAACACTTCGTTAACGAGTCCGTTGAAACGATTTTTGTACTATGATAGAGTAAAAAGAACTGTACATTAACGTTATTATTTTACTTGATACTGATGTTAGATATATAAATATAAATAATAAATATATAAATATGATATAAGATATATATTTGATACAATCAATTCTGCTTACATTTTTCTATTCTTAAATGTTGAATTCATACACTTTTCAAAGTTAGCAAAGATTATCTAGCACTATTAAAGCTTACCTGAAATCTACACTGTAAGTTTCACGTTCATAAGTGAACTTATCACAAGTCGTAGAAATTTCAAGAATAATAAATCACCCTAATAATTTATTGATAGTTTGTAAATTTCAAGCTTGTAATAAGTTTTAACACGTTTTTATAAGATGTTTATAAACTTTATTGATAGTGTTATTACAATATAAACAGTGTAAGCACGAAAAGTAGGACGCAAAAGTTTGGTTCTCGCAGGAATGTTGTGTCCCAGCAGCAGCATATATACAGCGGCAACACCTCGCTACACTAGGGGACCGGTGACTCTAGGTGTCGAACGAGACTTGGTCTCGACATGTAAATAACATACCGCAACCAACCAAGCCCAAGCTTACATACAAAGCAAGGGAATGGAACACTTACACCTCAGAGTCGATATTTGTTCCTTTTATTATTTTTTCCTTCCAATAAAAACAAATATTTTTCACCTTATTATGTTCATAAAGAGTAGAATCGGGCATTGAAACGTAATCTAAGCAAAATGTATGCTGTTTAAAATCTGATTTTTTTAAGACAGCAGAAATGTTAAACGAAGTTGTGACATACAACTCACAATAATATGCTAACTCAAACTGTCTTCAAACTAAACTTAAATAAGTTTACACAGTTTTAAAACTTTCGTTGCATACTCAAGTAGGTGTTGGGAAAGCAGCTCATCAGAAGCTACTTTAAAGGACTTCTCCGCCATTTTCATTTCTTCCTTACCCTTGTTCTTTTAAAAGTACGTGTTATACTTGGGACTAGTTCGTTGCTCAAAATTCTTTCTTCTAGAATGCATTTGTATATTATTACATAAAAGAAGTTCGCAAAAACTACCATAGGTCTAATGTGCATACCGTTAAAATAAAACTACTGGAAGCAATTTTTACTGTTAACTATATTTACATAATACTGAGCTATAATGCCTAATGGGTCTAA